TTTTTCTTGATCCTTTGTAAATTTTTTTTTGATCCTTTTTAAATTTTTTTTTGACCCCTCTCCCCACATGAAGCGGGATCACGATCCGTGGGCAGAATGTTTCACTCCGCTTTGAGGCTCCCTGCGCAATCTGGCTGCCTCCTGCCGGCTCTGGGACCTTCAGCGGCTGGAGCTGGAGCTGCACCGACACGGTACCGACACGCCGATTCTCGCTGCATCGGCGCCTCCTCGCAGCCACTTGTTGCACGCGCAATCCATCTCGAGGCCAGCATGCGGCGCGGACATGCGAGGGTTGCCCATTCCCAACCGCGCAGCTCGATTCACGAAAGGGATCCCCACATGTACTGGCGAGAATCAGGATCCCCATGTACTGGAGCGATGCAGCCACGCGACTTCGTGCGAATCGCCACACGCCAGTTCGTGCGACCGAATCGCTTCTTCCCCCAATGTGCCGGCGAAACTCATTCTTCTCCCAAAACGGATTCAGCCTCTTCCCAGCAACTACTGGCGAGATCAAGCAGTTCCGGGCCATGATCAGCGCAGCACTGCACGTGCCGCGTTCGAAGACGCTGGCGTCACCTTGAGGGGCTGTTCCTTTGTGATTTCGAAGAGGCCAGGCAATCGGAGTTCAAGATTCATCGCGGACGCGGACACGGCAAAAGCACAGCGCGAAGGGCTCTGTCAAAATTCGGAAGAAGCATCGTCTCACGGCACTACACGCACAGCGCCAGTTTGTGTGTGTGTGTGACCGAATGCCCTGGTAGCAAGAGAAGGTTGCCACAACCGAGGACAATCATCACGGCACCACACCCACCACACCACGCAAGAGAGTGAGAGAATGAGCGAGAGAGTGAGTGAGTGCGTACCATGCACGGGTGGGTGGCTGGGAGTGGAGCGGAGTGGAGCGAAGTAGAGGGCAGGTGAGGTGAGGTGAGTGGAGTGAGTGAGTGTCGACTGACTAGCTGACTAGCACTTGCGGTGCCTGCCTCCCTCGTCCCTCAACATGTTCGGGGTCCGCAGGTGTTATCGCCCCCACTGCAGGCAAGAGTCGCCAAACAGCACGAAGCTGGGAATGAAAAATATTTCCAGCGAACACAGAGGTGAAATGGAACAACAGCTCATCAAAAACAGTATATGGTTAGCAACTCGTCGAGAGCACGGAAGTACACAGGCAGTGCAACATCTACGCATGGAAGGCTCACCAACTTTATGCATCCAGCGATAGAAGACTCCAGCTTGTCGAGTGGGCGGGCCAGCGCCGAGGGAGCAAAGCTCCAAGCACCGACGGCCCGCGAACCCAACCGAAACCCGTGAGCCAAGCGACACAGCAAGGACACCGCTTGTGAGGGCCCTTTGACAAGCATGAAACCTCCACGCACGCATGGACCAATAATGCAGACCAGAGCAGGCAGGCACGAAGGGCTCAGCAGCACCCTCACCCGAAATACCAGAAACCTGGATGCAAACGCAAAGCTTTCCAAACAATCGGCAAAGGCACTGTCGCTAGCACAAGGGAGGGGGGAGAAAGGGGCTGCTTTTCCACCACATAGCCCTTAGTTCCACGGAGTCCACACCTTTTCCACGACTAGCCCCCGCCCAAAAGAGTGTGCTGGGTTGGGGGGGGTGCTGCTTAGACTGTCGGGCACCACGTAGTGATTCGTGACTCCAGCTTCCGCTAGCCCTGCCTCGTGCGTTACAAACCTCAAAGGATTTCACAGACTCGCCATGCCAAGCAAGCTCACGCAATGCAACCTCGCGAAGAGACAACCTCACATTAGCATCATCATCTCATCATCACATCAACAGTATCACCTCATGCCATCCAAACGACCTCCACGGAAAAAGTCCTTCTCCAGATTTTCGGAGGAACATGAAGGACTCAGGGCGTTCTGACGATGGAGCACGAATTGAAGGCCTTCTTCTTCGTGGCCTTGTTGCCACCGGAGGTGCCGGCAATGCTCTCCAACTCCTGTGCAAGCACGGGGTCACAGCCTCTGAGAGCCTCTGAGAGCCTCTGAAGGAGTCGCCTTGGGCACTTCTTGGTTCGCATCGCGGAGGACTTTGCAAAGGTCACCTGCGTGCGCCTGCGCAGCCAAGCCGAGGACCGCAGGCCCGCAGGCCCCTTCCCCAAAACGAACGTCTCTCTTTCCCGATGGCGCGAGGGGCCGGGCCGGGCCGGGCCGGGCCGCCGTGGGCCCTGCCGTGGGCCCTCCCTTTGCCGTGCCGTGCCCGTGTGCCTTCTCATCCTGGGCCCCCTTGGACTCCGGGCAGAAGAGGCAGATCGCCAGGCCTCCGCGGCGCGGCAGCGGCAGAGAGCGAACTATTCGCTCCCAACTCCCAACTCCCAAAGCCCCAAAGCCCCAAAGCACCGCTCACCGCGAGCGGGGGCCTTTCTTCCCGGCTCGGCCGGTTCGGCCGATGCGATGCACGTAGTCCTTTCTGCATGAGGAGCGGATCTCTCTGCGAAGAGAAGAGGCTCTGTCGCTGGTCGTGGCCCGTGGGGAGCTCTCCTCGATGGTCAGAGGGAAGGTGTAGTTGATCACCAGCTCCACGTCCTCGTCGCGGCGCCCCACGGCTCACGGCTCATAGAGGCTGGCTGTAGCTGCTGCTGGATGCTGTGTCGTGATGCAAGCATGAGACGGTCAGAGACTCCTGGACATCCAGACCTCGGCTGGCAACGTCCGTGGCGATGAGTGGAGTCCTCGGCGACGCCGACGACACGCGCCCCAGAGAAGCGTGAACCGTTGCACGATAAACATATTCCAGCCACTTCTTCGTGGCCTTGAAGTCTGCAATGGCCTGGCACTGACAGGCCATTGCAGATCTTTCGAAGGAGGAAAGATCAAGGCCTGTGTCCGTTTGTCCTGGGACATGTCCTTGGAGTCCCAACGAACTCTGCTCTGGCTTGGAAGGGCGAGGCTTTTGGGACGGCTGGGGCCGGCTGCGCCCTGCAACGCAATCACCTTTTCGTAGCCCTTCTCCCACCTAAGGCCCATTTAGCCAAGGGAGCGCTGGGGGGATCAGCCTCAAGCAACGAAAAACAGGCAACGGGCAGGAAGTTCTCCAGCCAGGCCGTCTCCTTTTGGAGCTCAAACGGCCGGCGACTGTGACAAAAGAAGGCTCAAAAAAATCGCGGGGGGCGCCCACCTTCTTGTAGAGGCCAAAGATGATGACCTAAAAGCACAAAGCTCTTTTTTGCAGCTGCCTTTCCTCGGCGCCGACAGGGTCGTGAGCCTTCTTGTCCGGACTGAAATGCTTCTTCAGATGTTGAAGTAGACGTGCCGGCTTGTCCTTCGACGAGAACTGAAACAAGACGGATCACGACGATGTCACGAGTTCGAGTCCGGCCGAGTCCCTGTCCTGTCCTTCTCGTTGCTGATCACCTCCGGGGGCCACGAGCGGCCAAAAGCCGAGAGACGAAGCGAGAGACGAACCCGACCGGCGGCCTCCACCAGCTGTCGAATGGCCGTGTTCGCCACCATGCCCTCATCGACAGAGCCGATGCCCACCTTTTGTTGTGAAGCGGCGAAGAGCGAGCGCTCTCCGTCTAACTCTAACTCTCCCTGCAGATCTGGGGTCTATCGCATGCATGGGCTCGTTGAGGAACTTCGTCGCGAGAGCGTGCACCGTGGCCTAATGAGAGGACAGGGCGGCGCATGGCGGCGCATGGCGGCGCATGGCGGCGCATGGCGGCGCGGGGGCCACGGCAGGCCAGGTGGCGCTGAACATGCAGGTCTGGCGCCTGTGCTTTTGGAGGGCACCAGGTACGGTCTCCACTCCGACTTCACTGAGTGCCTCACTTCCCAGCCTGGCGAAGGCTCTCTCTACTGTTGAGATCGGGGGCTGGCCGGCTGGCCTTGGGCATCTTGGAGATCAACGCTTTCACCGCGTCGATGAAGCCCAGATCCAGCATCCTGTCCGCCTCGCGAGCGACCATGCAGGGCACGCTCCCCTCAGCGATGACGCAGAAGCACCGCCATCGTCCTTTTTTCTCTCCTCTGCTTTTTGCAAGAAGGCCTTGGGCCTTCTCGCTGCCAAAGGTCGAGATCAGATCACAGCACAAGGAACACAGTACGAGGCGGGCTCGCTTAAGAGGGCCCCTCCAGAACTTCACCAAAGGTGCTCCAAACCCTGCCAGGGCCAGGGCCAGGGCCAGGGCCACGCAGACCGAGCGCGCCGGGCTCCGACTTCCGTCGCAAGCGCTCCTCGCCGGGCTCCCCTCGCCCGGGCAAGGGCTCCTTCGGCCCGAAAGTCTGAAGGGCAGCGGCGCTCCGCGCCCGAGCGGCGCTGCCGGCGCTGTGGGCGGCGCTGCCGCTCAGGGCGGCGCTGCTCAGGCAACTGCTCTCGCTGCGAGGCGAGAGCAGCGAGGTCGAGCCCGTGGCCCTCACCGAGGCATGCGATTGGGATCGCTGGATCTCAGACTCTGCTGACACAGTTCCAAAGCTTGGGGTTCTCCTGCGCCTGATTTTCAGGCCTTGTCCGGGCAATGAAGGTGCCTCCATCGGGAAGCAACGTCCCTTGTGAACCCAGTTGGTGGGGTTCCAGCTTGGCTTGCCCTTCCTCCTTGTGTCGTAGAGCTCACTGACAGCTCCGTCTGCCGGCCAGGTGCGCTCGGGATTGCTCACTCGCTCCTTGTCCCACGCATTGAAGTCCTTCTCTGGCAGATACCCCATGAAGCCAAAGCTGGAGTCCTTGTGGGCCCAGGTGACGGGACTCCAGGCCTTGAGGCGCTCCCTAGGGCGCTCCCTCAGAGACTGGGACGATCCAAGGAGGCAGACGCAAGGATCGAGCTCTCGCCCAATCGTGGTGACACGCTTCCATTCCTCAGCGTTTTCGGGGAGTCTCTCTCTCTTTTTTGCCGACCTAGGACCTAAGACCAAAAAAAGCGCAGCGACTCCGTCATGGTATATTGCTTGCAGCTGGGAGATCCGGCCGGCGAACGCCCTCAGAGGTAGCTTGTGCCGGCACAGCACGCGGTTGCGGCGTGACGGGCACTTTCCTGGTGTCGGAGATGTGATTCAAGATCTCCTCAGAAACACGCAGTACTCTCAGCATGTACCTGCTGAACAGACTGCCGGCGTGCAACCTCAAAGGACTGCTGCAGATCTTCCGAGCCACCTGCACAGACGAGCTTGCAAGCATGTGTGGCAACTGATTTGCGCCAATAGTGCTATGGCTGCTACGGCTTCTGCGAAAGTGTGAGCCCTCCAAAACAAGAACCAAGATCTTGCTCCGAATGCTAGACTTGTTCGTGCGTTCTCGCAGTCGCCATCGGCGGTGCCGGTTAACGGCGATGTTGTCGGCTCTTTCTCGTTCTCGAGGGTTGGGGTCAAGGTTACATTGTTACATGTACGGAACTGGCCCGCAGAGGCTTCCGCCGAGTGCCGCTGCTCTGCTCTGCTCTCGGGCGGGGGGGTTGTGGTGTGGGCCGAGAGATCGGGCCCAGAAATGAGAGTGAGGGAACACGCCAGCAAGTGGCACTTTTAGCAGCACTGGTTCAGCGCCGTTTCTTCTTCAGCTCCTGCCCTTCACCGTGTAAAGCGCTCTCGTCAGCACCCCTTTACACGATGCGGAGCCGAAAACAAAACTGCGGGAGTGAGTATGTTCATCCCGCTTGAAATGTACAGCTAGACATGTTTTTTCCATGAAAAATGCGCACGCTCCCACCCACCGCATGGCTACTTCACGCTGTTGCGCAAAGTATGAATCAAATGTTGGCCGCGCTTGTATGCTACAACCAGGCGTGGATGAGATCGGAGTGCACATTGAACTATGTCTTGCCATTGGCGAAGCCATGATCTTAACCGTATTCTTTCAAAGAAGGGGTGATACTTCACACAAAAGGCCATGCATCTGTCTCTGGCCTGCCTGCTCGCATGCAACATGGACGTTCGCCTGCTATACTCGCAAGACTCTCAATCAAAAACATGCTGGATAAAAGGTTTACTGTACCCACAGGTGATCAAACGCTGCATGAAATCCTGGCGCACTTGTTGAAAATCTTCAATACTGCTATTGGTGATGATGTACCGCTGCAGCTCTCCCTGTATCCAACTGCCGAACACTGTTTTGGGATGAGCCGACCACGGAGGAATGTATCGGAACAGATTCGTGGGCTTGAAATGCGTTCGTACTCGCAATCGACTTTCATGTACCGCGATGTGCAAATCAAGAAACGTAATAGAAATCTGTGACCATTCCCAAGTGCTTTTTTACCTGACATTGGCTTCGTTGTACGCATCCTCAAACTGTTGTCGTTCAGCTGAAGGCCCACACCAGATTACGAGGCAATCATCGCGAAATCGGCCATATTGCGTGGGATGCGACCAAATCTCAAAGTTCAGATGCGCAAGCCAAGCCTTGACCAATCCGCAAACAACGGAATGCTTCACCAGCAGCTTTGATGTACTGATTTTTGAGCACCAACTTAAGGGCATCAATCAACGCATAGATCTTGGATGCGTGCTCGTCACCTTCAAACTCTAGAAGCTCATGACGAATAATGCTGCACGCTTGGTGCGGGCAAGTAGATGGGTAAAAATCTTTTATCACCTGAACCCAACCAAACATGCTCAAGAGCAGCCATGCCGTCAAGCGCGATGACAACATCCTTGGTGCAAGTCACAATAGCCGGTTTGCTGGAAACAACTGGTTTAAGCCGCCTTTGACGGCGCTGAACCAGTGCTGCTAAAAGTGCCACTTTCTGGCATGTTCCCTCACTCTCATTTCTGGGCTCAAAAGGGTGCGCGCTTCTCCATCGCACGGAAGGGGATGGGCTCAAAGACGTTTAACGGTTCAGGGGCTGATGAGGAGCTGCTGGCAAAGCTTCCTTCGTCTGCATCTTGCGACGCCGGTCTGGCTAAGACCCTATTCCTGAAATTCTGCTATGGACGACTCGACGAACGCTCTCAGGGCCAGGAACCTCTACGATTGTCAAGTTGGATTGTGTTGGACGGATAATCCGACACCTCGTTCGGACATAAGATTTTGGGGGGCCTGTGGTAACAGGGGGACGTGGCATGAGCAAGCCAGTGGACAAGATAAGTGGCATTCTGCTCCCTGTGGAAATTTTAGCCTATCGTGCACTTTTGCTTTTTTTTTTGGCTCTGTGGCAGAGGATTTCTGTGCCTTGCTGGGTTCTGCCGGTATATGGCCGCTCTAAGTATTAGAACGCTCTGCTCAGTCTGACTGGTCTGACACAGCGCCAGCTCCGGCTCTCCCTTGAAGGTCAAAGACGCTCTGCAGCAAGGTGCAGCTCCAAAGGATCCCTAAACCTCTCAGTAACCGGCCCCAAAAAATTACGCCCCCTCCCTTCCCCCCCCCCCTTACGCTCTGCTAGTCACTGCTAGCCCGTGCCTGGTTTTAGCACACTGCTGCTTGCGAAGATGCTCTAACAACTGAGACTTGGCAGTCACGCTTCCACGACGTGCACGAAGGACACACTTCGGGGGGGGTTCACTGTCAAGACCAGAATCGGGACATCATATTCGGAGTTGCAGAATACACGACAAGCACATCGTGTATGACAGAATGACTGGCACGAATCGCTGCACACAGTGGGCTTTTTGCATCCCTTACACAAATGGTTCTTGACCAGGAAGTGTCTTTGATTCGCTGTTACAATTGCCAAAGCTCAGCAAACTGTCGGCAAGCACAGTGAGATATTGTTCACCATCATGCGAATCCCCAAAGGCCAGGTCCGCTAGGTCATGACAAAGACGCCTCCGGGCTCCCACGGTGCAGGTGCACTGACGGACATCACCGGCGAATCACGGCGAAGATTCTAATTCTAGCTTCGTACTTGCATGCCATGACAAACAAACAAACACCTTTCGGATTCCTTTCGGATTCCTTTCGGCACATGGACTATGTAGGACCTGCTACATTGGCCAATGCTTCCGACGCGAAGCAGGACAAGGGGCAACTTCATCTCCAAGCAGGGCGTGTGTCGCTAACTGTGCATGCAGGCTGCCAAGGTTACTGCTGCGTCTACCAAGTCTACCACACTTGGAGCCCAAAACAAAGACTGTGCCGGGCAAAAGCTAAGGGTTCAGAAGTCGAGCACCACGATGGCGGACATGGACCGGCGGGCAAGCGCCTCGTCCAGGACGAGGTACTGCCTCGGAGAAGGAAACGAGACGCGAGCGGACGCGAGCGGGCGGAAACCCGTCCCGCCCGCGCCGCGACGCCCGCGACGCCGACGCGACCCGACCCTGAGCCTGCGACACGGAGCTCAGGTCCACCGTCTCCTCTTCCACCAGGTCCTTGCGAAAGCAGCCGCTCAGGGGGTTCGAAAAATGTACGGCAGGTAAGGGTAAATGCACCTGCAAGCGTCCAGGCGTGCAAATGGCCATGTCAATGCCCGTCTGGGAAATTGCCTGTGACAGAAGAAGACGCTGACGTTGACTAACTCTTGCTCGCCCAAAAACTCGCCCCGGCCCCCATGCCTGTCGTTGATCTCTCTTGGGAACACCACCGTAGATGCACTGCACCGGGTACAGCCCCTGTTTATCGTCCCAGGCTTATTTCTGGAGACTTTCAGGCAGCAAGGGCACCTCTTCGCCTGCGGTGAGGGCTTTCACAAGATCTGTGCAGACCTCGGTCGGCGAGATGCCAAGGGCAGACGCAGCAGGAGATCCCGCGGGACACCTCCGCAATCTGCATCGCGAGCTCCCTGACCAGCCAGAAGCCGAAAAGCTTGAGCTCTCGCGTTCGCGCGCGCGCGCGCGGGGCTGTCGCCTCGTGGGTGCCAAGGCCACGAAGCGCGGCAGAGCGCAGGGCTGCTCGAAGACGTCCAGCTCTCCAAGCCTGTGGACAAGGCGCAAACTATTCAAAAGCTCCCTTCGCTCCCAACTCATCTCTTACTTGCTCCTCGACATGGACAAGTAGGGAAGAGCGAAGGCCAGTGTCTTTCCGCTGCCCGTCCTGAACAAGAGCGCGCTGCCCCACAAGAGCTTTAGAGCGCCGGCTCTGCTGAGTTGCCGACTTGGCGATTCCACACACGTCGCTTTTCCTGAGACTTCGACGACAAAACCGGTTGCCAGCACACAACCACTACAGCTGAGCCCGGATCTGCATGATTAATGGCCAAGTGCACGCCTTATCACAGCTGTTCGGCGACGAACATCTCTTGACACAACCCTGGGCCAGTTCTCGGCGGTGCACTTGGATGGGTGTGGGATTCTCATACTTGTTCTGGCAATACCTTTCACGTCCGCGTTACGGCTGCAGGAATGCAACGTGCTTTTTTAGAGAGCAGCATCGCACAGTGGCTGTGCCTGATCAGGCGTTTCGCAAAGCCTTGGAAGTGAAAGCCTGCCAGTGGGGTGATGTCAATGTCCTGGCCCAAGGCTGCACGAGAACACAAAAGCAGATTCATGGCGATGCGCTGTCAGCGTCCTTCCCCTCAGGAATATGAACCTCAATGTCCGTGTCACATCGTCTCGCTGCGTTGCAAACACACCCTCAGCCTTGATGTTGTGTTCATCGAAATATGCCTATCACTCAGGCTCTGTTCAGCACATGACGGCAAAGCCCTGCGATTTGCGCAGTTGACACGGGAGCCTTCGCGTCTTCCACCGTCAAAGTTGTCTTCAATTTCTTGGCCTGAAGCGTTGTCCCATCGGTTGATCCAAAAAAACATTGACGGCCTGGACGGTTTTGGTCTCGGGGATTGGTTTGCCGGAAGCTTTCCTTTTGCCGGCTGCCATGGCTGCCAAATACGCGTCTTACGCTGTCCTTAAGTTCAAGAAACTCGAGGTACCAGACATGAACCATACCTTGAAATGTGCAACTATTCTCAAAGAATGCAAGACACTTACAGGATGCTGTTCGCGATGACAAGTCTATCATGCAGATGCACATATCCGGTGGGTTTGATGGTGCACTGGCAATACTAACATGAAGTTGCCTCAGCACTAACCTTGGCGGCAACTTTTGACAGCAACATATTCTGCAGACCCTTTTGTCAGCGACGTACCTTCTCCTCAAATGCAATTCGATACACGGTTATCGGTATTGCGAGTCGCGCTGTGCCTATTCTTCGGTCACTCTTGCGGCTTTTCATCTCAATACGAAACATGTGCAGTTTGAACGAACATGAACCCATTATAAACGAAAAATGCAAAGTCAGTGTGGAAGTTCATTTGGATCAGGTTTGAAACCGTTGCTTGTTGAAGTGACGAAGTCACTGGACATGTAACATCCTGGCGAACACATCACCGAACAACAATAACGACTGGTGGACATGCCGGAAGATTTCATTATTTCAATATTCACAGACGCAAAACTTAATCGAGATATCTTGCAGATTCAAATTTTCGACCATGTATCTTTCATATGCTGCATTGTCATTCACTGCTTGCAGCAGCAAGAGAAAGAAACAGAGAGACTTTTTGACTTTGCATT